GTATAATTATCAATCTGATTTTTAATTGGATTGTCGATCATTTTAATGACAATGTATTTTTAAAATCCTCATTAAAGACTACGTGGTAATTGCTTAACAACAAGTCATTTATTCGCTATTGTCATAAAATAGATGAATATTTTATTTTTCGCAATTAGCATAATTATCAATCTGATTTTTAATTGGATTGTTGTTGATTAGAATGACAATGTATTTTATTTTATCATTCAAATCATTATAATTCTACTTGAAAACAACAATCATCTCTACACAATACTCGAATAATGCGAATGTGAAAGCAAATTTAAGTCTTGAAGGTGTTGTTGTAGCATTAACAGCTATATTAGATAGTCAAATTACCAAACAAGGAAAATATTGTACAGCATTAGTCTGCGATTCAAATCAAAATGTAAATCGTATAGCAAAATATTTGTCATCGAAAGCTAATTGCTCACTTCATACAAAAATGATAGAATATTTAAATAATTAAAATGGCACGTCTCATTTACGCCTTCATGTATTAAAATCAGTACAATTAATAATATTGAATCCATGACAGATGGCCAATACGTAGTTATTTACGTGCAAGATAATCGATATCGGTCCTGTAAGCATGTTTAAAATGGTTTTATATTGAAATTATTCTACTTTTTTGAGGATGATACTATCTTGTTTAACAACGGATCAAAAAAGTACAAAAACTAAAGAGAACGATCATCATTGCTAATAAAACTGACTCAATAACTATGAATCCTTGGGAAAAACCAGTTTAATTTAATAGAAAAAAATCTATCATATAAAATGAAATTAGCAAAAGTTAAAATGTTCAACAATGATATTTCAATAACAACAACAATACATACAAGGTGAGCTTTTTTTGTTACTTTTTGAAGAACTCCCTTAAAAAATATTCTACAGAAAATTTCTTAACTTCTTCATATATATAATATATAAATATCTAATGCTAAGATAAAACATTTATTCAAATTTTTAGATTTGTATCCACAGAAGATATTGGTGATATAAATTGTTCTGATTCTGTTCAGCTCTCGTCTGAATCAACACAAACTGGTATCGTTACGTCAATTGGATTAGTTGATGAAGGTTTCCACTGTCCAAAATATTATTCTACTGATATTGATCGAAATGATAAAACGATCAGATGTAATACATGTAAATCACGATCGTTATATTTGAAACAATAGAATTAAAATAAAATAAAATTGAATATTACTGATATTAAACAAAATACATTTGAATTTATTGTTGATACATCAAAAATTACAGCTTTATTACAAGAATGTAATCTTTCAGAACTTTCTACACAAGATTTAATTGAACAAGAAAGTATCTTACTTGCCTTATCGTCAATAACTGTTATCGTTAACTTTAATCCAATAAATAAACATATAACCAATAGCGTGATAAACAATAATCAGAACTAATTAAATATAATATCAAAAAAAAGAATTTTAAATATAATGCATTGAAAAAACATTTTTTATTCAAATAATAAATAATATTTATTGTTATAACTTCCGAATGTCACGATGAATTAATTTCTATTCCTATGAACATCTATTTGGGAACTACATTGCATTTTTTTGCATGATATTTCTATTTAAAATCTCACTTATAAATATATCTTCAATAAAACCAACATATATATTTACATTTAAAAAAAATGAGATTAAAAATAAAAATGAAAAGTATAGAACTTAATTTCTCTCTTATTTTTTTTGCACTTCGTTACATTCCAAATGTATCATCTGTTGAAAAATGTAGAACACAATAAAACTATAAATTCTTATTTATAATAGATACGATAATAATCTTATTTTATATGAAATAGTTGTTGACTTAATTCAATGATAAGTAGTGTTATACCAATAAGATGACTTTACAGCAGATCAACAATTTCCTATTAGCATCCGATAATTCTATCTCTCACAATAGAACGAAAAATTCTGTTCTACCATAGACACAATTACACTAGCTGTTTGTGAATCGTTTTAACTGTTCGAACGTGTTTCACACTTTTATTTCGCAAGGGATTACGCCAACAGCTTCTTAAAACCATCGTTAAAAATACCCCTCAATTTTTTGAAAACAAACTAATTGTTCTGTTTTCCTATAAAATGAATAAATATTTTATGTTCCACAATTAGCATAATTATCAATCTGATTTTTAATTGAATTGTTATTCATTATAATGACAATGTATTTTTAAAATCTTCATTAAAGACAACGTGGTAATTGCTTGAAAACAAGTCATTTATTTGTTATTGTCATAAAATAGATGAATATTTTATATTTTATGTTTTATAATTAGCATAATTATCAATTTCATTTTTCAGTTTGATCGGCGATCATTATAATGACAATGTATTTTTAAAATCCTCATTAAGAATTGCTTGAAAACAAATCATTAATTCGCTATTGTCATAAAAAAAGATGAATATTTTATGCTTCACAATTAGCATAATTATCAATCTGATTTTTAGTTTCGATATTTTTCATTGTAATGACAATATATCTTTAAAATCCTCATTAAAAATACACCTTCATTCCTTAAAAACAAATCATTTAATCGCTATTGTCATAAAATAGATGAATATTTTATTTTTCGCAATTAGTATAATTATTATTTGGTCGACTAGCTCGTAAACAACGAATTTTTTTTCTTTCTTCAAATGAAACTAGCGTTCCGGGAGAATGCGCACCTTTTCCCATCGATACTATAAGTAGGAGACCATTTTCCATCAATCAACAGATACACTCATATCTTCACTCAACAACAAATAATAACAACATACAAATGGGTTCGTTTACTACTGTGGTAGCGATTATAGCTTTCGTTGCAATTGTTGCAAAGCATTCATCAGTTGCAACACACGATTCTGACAGCCAAGAATTGCGTCGAGGACTTAATAGTTACAACGATGGCAAGGATGAGCAGTACAATATGTTTTTACGACGTGTAGCACAACGACTGGCTGATGATGAAGAAGATAGTGACGGAAGCTTTCGCGCTATATTTCGAAAGCGTGGTGACTCAGGTAAGATTTTCTATATAGAGAATTGATTAATAGAAACATCCTTTTGCATATCAGTGTTTTCGTATATATAGTTTCTCACTATAAATACTATTCTCATATCAATATAGTCAATGTCTCTTCATAAATACAACAATGATAGTGTAGTCGTCGGGATGAGAAATAAGATTTTTGTATGATAATTAGTTGATACATCCAAAACAGTTAATAACTTAAATGATGTTTCATCCTCAATGTTCGCACTAGTTTCTTAACGATTAGTTAGTACAATTTGAGCTGAAATTCTTTACTTACTATCTAAATTATGATGCTCTTAGATAGTTCATCATTGTTTCGATGATGAGTTTTATTAAATGCTAATGAATTGTAATAATTTATTGTTTTGTAGTGACTTGGGACAGCATCGCACTCAATAGTGTCATTGGTGATAAATACTGTACAGGAATTGGCTACAATCCGTCGACATCACTAAGTTCATGTCAAAGTGCTTGTTTGGCTATGGGTAGTTGTACAGCAGTCGATTTCTATCCAGGACCTGGACACTGTACGTTTCGTCAATGCCCCACCCATCCACCACATTATGAAGGCCAAAGTGGCTGGCAAGTATATGCTACAGAACTTAATTGTAAGTAATTTATTAAATGGCGAGTGCACCTTAGATCAATTTGAAAACGACTGGCTTTATGAGACATTAAACAGTCGATTATGAAAATGGAAATGTTTGTAGAAGTTTGGCTCAGTTTGTTTTCGATAATGTTTATTTGGATTGAGTGGACATAGACGATATGAGAGAACTTCCTTCTCAAACGAATAGGCGAACATATGAGACAGAAGACTAGTATAAAGTAGTAGAAACCATTGCACTGTAAAAAATGAGTGTAGAATAATAAACCCTTCGAAAAGGAATTTTTTTTCTACGGTTTCTTATCAGTAGTATATTATTAAACCATATTTCGTAGATTTGATGAAGAAAAAGGTTTCATGAAACGACTTATCATACTAAACGAGTATATGAGAGGGTTTATGAAGTTAGAAAATCATTTTGAAGGGTTTATGATTCTACACCCAGTTTGTATAGTGTATATTTTATAAATTGAAACATTCTTTCAAATATCAGTATGTGTGTGTGTGCAGTTTCTTATTATGAATACTATTCTCATGAATATAGACCATTTCTCCTCGTATAAAACAGAAAGCGAAAACTCAAAAGAGAATGATAAACGATCGATATCATGCAGAGGTGATCTAGTTTCATAAATACAATAATGATAGTGTAGTCGTCGGGATGAGAAATAAGATTGTTGTATGATAATTAGTTGATACATCCAAAACAGTTAATAACTTAAATGATGATTCATCCTCAATGTTCGCACTAGTTTCTTAACGATTAGTTAGTACAGTTTGAGCTGGAAATCTTTGTTTACTATCTAAATTATGATGCTCTTAGATAGTTCATCATTGTATCGATGGAGAATTTTATTAGTTACTATTGAATTGTAATAATTTATTATTTTGTAGTGAATTGGGTCCAAATCGCATCCGGTAGTGTTATTGGTTCAAATTGTGAAGGAGTTGGCTACAATCCGAAGTTATCACTAAGTTCATGTCAGAGTACTTGTCTGACTACGACTTATTGCACAGCAGTCGATTTCAATCCAGGAACTGGACAATGTACGTATCGTCATTGCAACAGCTACCCGCCAAAATATCAAAGCCAAAGTGGCTGGCAAGTATGGGCGTTACACAGAGAAACACCAACCGCAACTGCAGCAAAACCAATCGTAACTGCAGCAAAACCGATCGCAACCGCAGCAAAACCAACCGCAACTG